TTCAGCTACGTTGGGAGGCTGTGGCAGGAGAATGACTTGAACCCAGGAGGCAGAGGCTGCAGTGAGCCCGATATCATGCCACTGCACTTCCAGCCTGGGTGGACAGAACAAGACTCTTCTAAAAAAAAAAAAAAAAAAAAAAAAGTTTAGCCAGACCCAAACATTTCTCGTTTCCCTTTGTACCAGTGTAGTTCTACAATATCTGTTTATTGATTGTTATATAATATATATATATATATTATTTTTTTTTTTTTTTTTTTTTTTTTGAGACGGATCTCGCTCTGTCGCCCAGGCTGGAGTGCAGTGGCACGATCTCGGGCTCCACTACAAGCTCTGCCTCCTGCGTTCACGCCATTTCTCCTGCCTCACGCCTCCCGAGTAGCTGGGACTACAGGCGCGCCCACCACCACGCCAGCTAATTTTTTGTATTTTTAGTAGAGACGGCGTTTCACTGTGGTTAGCCAGGCAATTGGTCTCGATCTCCTGACCTTGTGATCCGCCCGCCTCGGCCTCCCAAAGTGCTGGGATTACAGGTGTGAGCCACCGCACCCAGCCAGATTGTAATATATTTATACCTTCTTTCCACAAGGGATTTGAAGTTGCTTATAACATACAGTGTACAATAGTAAAATATGTAGAAAGGGAGAATATAAAGAATATCAAATTTGATTCAGGGTTGCTGGCAGCCACAGCAGTGAATGATATGGTTTCATTATCAGGTTTTTGGGTCAGTGGGGAGGGGAAGAGAATAACTTTTCTAGGATTCGAAATAAAAAATGGAACTTCTGACCTAGAGCATTTCTGTTGTGCCCTTCTCATCTCTCTAACCTAATTAATAAATTATTCTTGGCCTGTAAAAACTAAGGAATACTTACTTCTCTGCAGCCTCAGGGCTATGTAATCAGCATTCTTCAGTCTATCAGCTTCAACTTTTCAAGATGCCAGCTTCACCCATTCATTCTTCTGCATAGATTGCCCTGGGCATTGGAAACAAAACCATATTCCTTAGGTAGGTTTGGGTGTGCTCACATCAATTCATGTTAAGAATCCCTTTCTCAAAGGCTGGGCAAGGTCTCTTAGGCCTGTGATCCCAGCACTTTGGGAGGCCAAGGCGGGCGGATTACCTGAGGTCAAGTGTTGGAGACCAGCCTGACCAACATGGAGAAACCCCGTCTCTAGTAAAATATATAAAATTAGCTGGGCATGGTGGCGCATGCCTGTAATTCCAGCTACTCGGGAGGCTGAGGTAGGCGAATCACTTGAACCCGGGAGGCGGAGGTTGTGGTGAGCCCAGATCGCGCCATTGCACTCCAGCCTGGGCAACAGAGCAAAACTCCGTCAAAAAAAAAAAAAAAAAAAAAAACCTTTCTCACTGGTTGGAGAAAGACGACCTATGTTTACACTCCAACAACATCAGAAAGCTGTGCCAAGCCATGTCATAACCAAAAGCTAAATCTGTGTGATTGGTAATAATAGGTTTCTAGGGTTTCTAGGGTTAAAAATAAATCGGTAAATTAAACTCAAGTTTCTAACAGGAAACCAGATTGAAACTGGCTTCCATTACCAATAAAGTTTGTATGGGATGGTGTGATCCGCAACAGAGTAGGCAGTGGTGGGGGCTGGCATGAGGGGCGGGCGGGAGAGACCCTAAAAATCCACCGCCCTTCGGTGGCAGGGGACTTCATGGTGTTTAGCCAGAGGTGCCCATCAACCCGGGCCTAAAGGACCAGCGTCTTGCCCCGCCCATCGCCGTCTGAGGTTAGGACAAAGATCGGGAGGCTGGACAGGGCTGGGGAGGGCGCTCCAGGGAAGCAGACCTGGCGTCGATTCCTACAGTTGCGGCCTGGGTCCCCACGCCTGGGAGAGGAGGCAACGCGGGGCCGGCGGCTTTGTGGCGCGCGGGTTCCAGCGCGGGGGAGGGGACAGAGGGTGAGCTGAGGGCCTCGAGTCCCAGCACTCCGCCCCGCTGTGGGCGCCGCGCATGGCCTGCCCCTTGCAGTCCGGCTTCCCCGCTCGCGCTCGCACGAACAGCCGCCTGGATGTGTTCCTGCGGCGGCATCTGCCGCCCGAGGTCTACGACGCAGTCCGCGCTTATGAGCCATGCATCGTGGTGTCCAACTCGGAGAACCACACCCTCAAGTACGTGGTGCTGAGCGACCGGCTCATCTACCTAACCGAGAACCCGCCCAAGTCCATCCGGCGGGTAGTGGCTCTGCGGGACGTCGTGGCCATTGACCTGGTGAGCGGCGCGGGTGGGCAGACGGGCTCCGGAGCGCAGTGAGAACCCCCGGCTGAGGCTCCCAAACCCAGCCCTCCTGCGCGCGGGGAGGGCTGCCCCACCCCGCCCTCGACTCCCCTACTATTATTTGAGAACGAGGAACACAGGGAAGCTGTGGATTGCTGTGAGCACTCCTAATACAAACACGTTTCCCATTCTCCTTGTGTCTGCCTGTCCACCCCATTCTCCCGCCTCCCCTACCCCCACTTAGGGCTACAGGTTTGAGAACCGAGCTCCCTATCAAAAACACGTTTTAAAGTTGTTCCTTTGTTAACAAATCACCTAGTCAGTGCCAGGCACTGTGCTAGACTCGGAGGACGCAAAAACGAAAGAGGGCCCCTACCTAGAAGCAGTTGCTGGAGGGCTAGAAAGCCAACACCCGTGCAAATAAATGCTGTGTGTTAAGTGCTGTTATGTCTCATTTACTTTTTTGCCCCTGATGCTTACAGCATGTTAGGTGCTCAATAAGAATAAATGCATAAGGCCGGGCGCCGTGGCTCACGCCTGTAATCCTTACACTTTGGGAGGCCAAGGTGGATGGATCACCGGGGGTCAGGGGTTCAAGACCAGCCTGACCAACATGGTGAAACGCCGTCTCTACCAAAAATACAAAAATTACCCGGGCGTGGTGGCGTGCACCTGTAATCCCAACTACTTGGGAGGCTGAGGCACAAGAATCACTTGAACCTGGGAGGCGGAGGTTGCAGCGAGCCGAGATCGAGCCACCCGCACTCCAGCCTGAGCGACAGAATGAGTGAGACGCCGTTCCTTCCATCCCCTCCCCCCACAAAGAATAAATACATGAATAAGCAGATGCGTTAATGAGATGCGCACCGGACGCTTGGCAATCTCAGGTGGCTCACTTGATCCAAACTGGGCGCAGCGCCTGCTGGGAAACGTCTTGGAAGGAGGGGCGTGGACGCTAGGAGCTGGGCCTGAAAGACGTCGGGCCTGCCACAGCCTGTCCCGGGTTTTCGCGTCCTGCTCCTGTACCCCTTTCCTCCAGGAATAGATTTACCTTGTAAACCAGCAACAGACTGGAAGCACGGTCTCCTCTCCAATTACTGTTTTCCCCGCCTGGCTCCCTTTGTCTGAGCTGCTCTCCAGGTGTGTTCTTGGTTTTTCCGTTGGGGGCAGGTGTCTAGCCTCCTTTTTTCATTCCCTTGACTGAGCCTCAAGGGAGAGGTTGGCGAGACGCTTGATGGAGCTGTTTTGCTGAGAGAGTCATGGCTTCTTTTGAACGAGTCTGTTAGAGAAGAATAAAATTAAATGAAAAAAAAAAAAGATTGTTTTTTCTACTCGGAATACCTTTGTGAACTAATATAACTGTGCCAATTTGTTTCCTTCTTTATTGAGGAAAAGTTTGGGGTACAACATTGCTTTTCCTCACTACCATTGTTTCCATTCTCTTGAACTAAAACAGTTTTTTTGGAGACAGTCTCACTCTGTCATCCAGGCTGGAGTGCAGTGGCACCATCACGGCTCACTGCCACCTCAACCTCCAGGGCTCAAGCCATCCTCCCACTTCAGCCTCCCAAGTAGCTGGGACTACAGGCTCATGCCATCACAACCGGCTAATTTTTAAAAAAATTTTTGTAGAGACAGGATCTTGCAGTGTTGCCCAAGCTAGTCTGAAACTCCTGTCCTCAAGTGATCCACTACAGATGTAAGCCACCGCACCTGGCCTTGAACTAATTTTTTTTTTTTAATTTAAATTTCCTTTACTAAATGTTTTTTTAAACTTTAGACTGGGCAAGGTGGCTCATGCCTATAATCCTAGCATTTTGGGAGGCCAAGGTGGGGGAATCACATGAGCCTAGGAGTTGGAGACTTGGGCAGCCTAGCCAGACCTCGTCTCTACAAAAATAAAAATAAATAGCTGTGTATGGTGGTGCATGCCAGTTGTACAAGCTACTTCATAGGCTGAAGTGGGAGGATACTTTGAGTTAAGGAGTTGGAGGCTGCATTAAGCCATGATCTCACCACTGCACTTCAACCTGGGTGACAGAACTAGACTGTCTCTAAACAAACAAAAAACTTTAAAAGGGGCCAGGCATGGTGGCTCACACCTGTAATCCCAGCTCTTTGGGAGGCCAAGGCAGGTGGATCACCTGAGGTAAGGAGTTCGAGATTCTTTCGAGAATCTAAGAATCTAGGCACGTGCCACCATGCCTAGCTAGTTTTTGTATTTTTTGTAGAGACAGAGTTTTGCCATGCTGCCCAGGCTGCTGGGCTTAAACGATCCACCCACCTTGGCCTCCCAAAGTGTTGGCATTACATTACAAGCATGAGCCACTGTGCCTGGCTTGGTTTTTTTGTTTGTTTTTGTTTTTTACGTGTGAGAATCTAAGAAGTACGGTAAAGCTCCTTTGGCCCTGAGCCAAGAAAGGATACCAATTTATTTATTCATGCTTTCTGTACAAGGTTTACCTTTCAGGCATAAAGAATGTGTAATGACTATAAATGTCCTGAACAAATCTAAGCTTTCAACATTGTTGGTAGCTTGAATGTCCATCTTGCACAATATAGTTAAACTTTGGAAGTTGTGATAGGCAGAATAATTACGCACCAAAGATAAGCACATGCTGAATCCCCGGAACCTATGAATATGTTATATTACATGGAAAAGGAGAATTAAGGTTACAGATGGAATTAAAGTTGCTAATCATTTGTCCTTAAAATAGGGAAATTAATTTGAATTATCTGGGTGGGCTCAATGTGAACACATTTTTTTTTTTTTGAGATAGAGTCTTGCTCTGTCGCCCAGGCTGGAGTGCAGTGGTGCAATCTCAGCTTATTGGACCTCTGCCTCCCAGATTCAAGCAATTCTCCCACCTCAGCCTCCTCTTAAGTAGCTGGGACTATAGGCGCGCACCACCATGCCTGGCTAATTTTTGTAGTTTTAGTAGAGACAGGGTGTCGCCATGTTGGCCAGGCTGGTCTCAAACTCCTGACCGTCCGACCTCTTGCACTTTTAAAGATGTGTTTATGGCTGGGTGTGGTGGATCACGCCTGTAATCCCAGCACTTTCGGAGGCCCAGGCAGGCAGATCACCTGAGGTCAGGAATTTGAGATCAGCCTGGCCAACATGGTGAAGACCCATCTCTACTAAAAATATAAAAATTGTCCAGGTGCGGTGGCTCACTCCTGTAATCCCAGCACTTTGGGAAGCCGAGATGGGTGGATCACCTGAGGTTGGGAGTTTGAGACCACCCTGACCAACATGGAGAAACCCCGTCTCTACTAAAAATATGAAAGTAGCCAAGTGTGGTGGCGCATGCCTGTAATCCCACCTACTCGGGAGGCTGAGGCAGGAGAATAGATTGAACCCAGGAGGTGAAGATTGCCGTGAGCCGAGATTGCGCCATTGCACTCCAGCCTGTGCAACAAGAGTGAAGCTTAGTCTCAAAAAAATAAAATATATCTATATATGTGTGTGTGTGTGTATGTGTGTATATATGTGTGTGTGTGTGTGTGTGTGTGTGTCTGTGTGTGTGTGTGTGTGTATATATAAATTAGCCAGGTGTGGTAGCACACACCTGTAAGCCCAGCTACTTGGGAGGCTGAGGTGGGAGAATCACTTGAAGCTTGGAGGTGGAAGTTGCAGCGAGCCAAGATTGCGCCATTGCACTCCAGCCTGGGCAACAGAGTGAGACTCTGTTTCAAAAAAATCAAAATTAAAAATTACAAAAAAAGTGGAGGAGAGAGGCAGAAGAAGAGTCGGTGGCCAACTGATGCAGCACGAGAAAGACTTGACTAGCCATTGCTAGTTTTGAAGGTGGAAGAAGGCCTTAGCCAAGGAATGTAGGTGGCCTGTAGAAGCTAGAAAAGGCAAGGAAATTGATTTTTCTCTAAAGCTTCCAGAAGGTCCTGCCAACACATTAATTTATTTAGTAGAGATGGGGTCTTGCCATGTTTCCCAGGCTGGTCTCGAACTCCTGTCCTCAAATGATCCTCCCACCTTGGGAGGATTCTAAAGTTGTAACTGCCCACTGGATTCACCTTGCCTGATGCCTAGACAGAGCCAGTTTATCAAGACAGGGGAATCACAATAGAGAAAGAGTAATTTATGCAGAGCAGGCTATGCAGGAGACTGGAGTTTTATTATTACTCAAAGTAGGTTCCCTGAGCATTTGGGGATCAGAGTTTTTAAGGACAACTTGTTGGTTGGGGGAAGCCAGGGAGTCAGGAGTGGTGATTGGTTAGGCAGGAGATGAAATCATAGGGAATGGAAGCTGTCTTCTGGTACTGAGTCAGTTCCTGGGTGGGGGCCACAAGATCAGATGAGCCAGTTAATCGATCTGGGTAGTGCCAGGTGATTCATCAGGTTCAGCATCTGCAAAATATCTCAAGCACTGATCTTAGGAACAAATAAAGTCCCTTATGCCTCTGAGCCCCAGCCTCCTTGTTCCATGTTAGGCCAGATTAACTCTAGTTCCTGACATAGGTCACATTTATCTCAGGGGAAAAAAAGCCCTTACAAATAATACAGATAAAATTCTATTCCCTTCACAAAGGAAAAAAAAAAATTAATGGTAACAGCAGCAAAAAGTTAGACCAGAGTGTACACATGTTTGTTTTGAAGAAGGGTACAAGTGAGATTTCCCTTCCAGCAAAAATGAGCTTAAAGTGC